ACGTGAAGCAACCATAGGGCACAGGCAGTCAAAGCCTAAAACCGTCACCCCCCCCGCCCCGAACCCTAAAAACCCTAAACCTTAAACTCGCAAGCATGCCTGCAACAGCAACAAGGTCCCAATTTCCCACTTGCCCAAAGCAACTTGGACACGTTGCTTCCTTGGACTAACCGTGCTCGGGTTTTGCTAGTCTGCTAGTTCCATTGACCGATTTTTTATGGTTGGGATCCTGTAAGCCAAACCGACAAAAACCCAGAACTCCTAAGACCTAAATCTTGAGAATGCCAGGCCGAATCTGCTTCCCAAGAAGCCCGTTGCGCGTGTGGCGCCTAAGAGGCGCAAACGGTACTTAGTAGCTGAGTAGGTAACCTTTAACCTTTTGAGCTTTACATAGCCCTATCATAATTGAATAGCTTAACCTTCTGTGGGCTAGTGGTATTCAGCCCCCGACAGGCACAGAAAGGGGCCTTTGCAAGTAGAAAGACATGGGTTTTGTGGTATCTTACATGTGTAATGTACTGCTAGAAGCATGCGAGACACAACAAGTAGCAATGGATAACCCTGAGGAACAGTTAGTATTTCCTTATAAGGACTGGAACCCTAAAGACTGCGACCACGAAGTCTTGACTTCTACAGCGAATTCGGCCCACCTGTTGTTGTCTGCAGCCTGTGCCAGTGATACCCTTTCGCCCTGCTTGGTTCTGTGTTTCCTTATTAAACCCGAAGAGTACAGAGAAGGGTATCCTTATTAGCAAGGAAGGAACTGAACAAAAGAAGCGAAAGAATGAACACAACACCAGGAGTTAAGAGATAACCGTCCATAACCTATAGACTTGCTGAGAGTGAGCGGAAGGAACGAGAGAAGTGAGTGAATGCAGAGAACGGAGCCCAACATATCGAATCGAGGTAATGTAGCACAACAACTGAAAATAGAATATCTGGGTATTGGTTTCATTCTGTTAGTTTGGGCCTCTTGCCCTGGTTCTTATGCTGTGTTGAGTTCAAGCATCTTTCAATTACATTACATGTTTGATTCAACACACCCAGAAGACCTAGAGTTCGCTTCGCGCTTAGTACAGTATAATAATACCGAAAGGTTTGAGCCATGCATTGGAACAAGAGCACAATGAAATATGATGAAGGCGTGGTTTTGTTTTCAACGATTTGTTAGGCCTTTTGCCCTTGTGCTCCTTTGTTTCACTTGCTCGCATCAGTTAAACAAATCACTGGCGTGCAGTATTTATTTACCCTTTGTCTCCAGCTCTAGGACGCACAACTATGGTGATCTTGGAACGCCCTATAAACCCTAGGGCCTAAACTCCAAACCCAAAATCTATACACCCCCCAAAAGCCCCCCTAAACCCTGACCCCTAAACCGCACTTCAAAAAAAGAAGCCCTCAACCCTGAACCCCAAACCCTATAAACACTAAACCCTAAACCCTATAAGCCCTCAACCCTAAACCCTAAACCCTATCAGCCCTAAACCCTAGACCCTAAAACCCTAAAAGCCTAAACCCTCAACCGGCCAGCAACCGCCTGCTGCTCTTCGATACCGTGCGGGGCGTCCACGGCCTCCCCTGGCCACTTCTGGGGAACCAAAGTCCGACCTCCCAGGTGCAGGGAATTAGGGCTTAGGGTTTAGGGGTTTAGGGTTTAGTGATTAGGGTTTGGAGTTTAGGGTTTAGGGATTACTTTATGGGGTCAGGAGCTTAGGGTTTAGGGATTCGGGTTTAGGGTTTAGGGATTAGGGTTTGGAGTTTAGGGTTTAGGGTTTCGGGTTGAGGCTTTAGGGTTCAGGGTTTAGGGGGGTTTAGGGTTCAGGGATTAGGCAGGGGTTCCTGTGGGGATTCTCCAAGAGCGCTTTGGGGTTTCAAGTTTAAGGTTTTGGGTTTAGGGCTTGAGGCTTTTGTGAGGGGTTCCTTCTGGGGTTCTGATGATTTGGAGGATTCCTGTCCTGTAAGGGTTCTTTCAGGGTTCAAGGTTTGGGCTTTTGGGTTCTATAATGAAAAGGGTTTAAAATTTGGGGGTTCAGAGATTAGGGCAGGGTATAAACATGTATTACCCATATTACCTCTGTTCGTCCCTACACTTTATGATCTTTATACTATAACGGTACCGTCGAAGCCATCGACCAGAGAAGATAGATGCAGGGTTACATCTATTGGCCGACCTTTATCAGGGTATATGCGGGTTTGCGCCGTTGTTTTTGTGGGCCATAACCTCCTGTGTTGCAGGGTTTAGGGCTACAGGCAGGGTCAGGTTAGGGGCATGTGTTTGGCTCTTTCGTTTGGGGCGTAGAGGTTTCTTTCGTGCGCCCGACTGCCTGGGTGCCAGTCCAACACCTGAGATCAATGGAACCTCTTCCTTCTGAGGTGCCAGTAGTATGGTTGCTTGAAAATACGGATAGTATCATGGCTCTGCGCTGAAGCCAGGCCGCCCTGTAACCTATGGGGGCTCAGGCTGAAACCGAAAGCTTTTTAGATTCAACCTGCAACGCCGTCCTATAGCCACCAACTCATTCAACATCCTAGCCTAAACCCTGAACCCCTACACCCCTGAACCCTAACCCCTAAACCCTAAACCCCCCAACCCCCACCCCCCCGGAAAGAAAACCCGAAAGACAGCCCACGGCTCTTCTGCAAGGTCGTCGGGTTCTGCAGTGGTATTTCGTGGAGGCCCCCAAGCCCATTTCAGGTGAATTTCGGGTGCCTTTGAGGGTTCAGGCTTAGGGTTGAGGGTTGAAGGTTTTGGGGTAACTCTCGAGGCTTAAATGACCTGGGGGTAGGTTTCCTTTGAGGCCACTTATACTAATAATATGGGTGGTTTTCTAAATTAGGACCTGTTTGGGGGTCCCCAAACAAACAGGACCCCCAAAAGGGACCCTAATTTAGAGAACTCCTCATGTCCTACATGTTTGTGCTTGTGTGTCGGGGGGAGTCTAATACACCCCAAGCCCTTCTAGCCCAGACTTTCAGACCGAAGGGTTTGCTGTAGGGGCCTTAAGAATTAGACTAGGGTTTTGGGGCCCATTATACTAAAGCTATAATAAGGAACCCTCCAAAATAAATAGTGTCAGTATCATCATCAGTCGGTGCAAAGTCCCAAAGGAACGTACCGCAAAAATATTAAGGCCCCAATGTTAGGGTTTTTGGGTTTCGGAAACCTAAACCCTAAACCCTAAACCCTAAACCCTAAACCCTAAACCCTATGTTTAGGATTTTTTGGTTTAGAAACCCTAAGGCCGAAGCTCCCGATCCAACTTGGGGTGTTCATCCCATAAACGCGAGATGGAAGCCCTGCAGCACTCGCCATCCCCGATACTGTAATCTAGGGGCCTAAATAATTAGCTTTACCATTTTTTTTGGGGGGGGGGAGGGTTCCTGATTTAAGTGTATATTATCATGGGCCCCAAAGCCCTATTCTGATGATTAAGGCTCCGAAATTAGCTGTTCCGGCCTCGCAGATTTTGGGGGTTTAGGGCATTCAAAGCTGCAGACCCACCCCCCGAAGCCACCCCAATCGAGACCGACATTTGGGGGTTTCCGAAAATAGGAGACCCTAATATAGTACCCTGAATATTAGGATCCCTGTTATAAAGACCCCAAAATAAGGTACCCCTAACTTTCTGAAACTCCCATTTCGAAGTCCAACCCACGACTTCTGTCTTCTGACAGGAGGGAACCGGTCATGCGCCGGCGCTGCCCGTGGCTCAGGGAGCTTGCTGATGCAAACGGCTTACTCGAGCCTTAGGAGCCCAGTAGGTAAACTTTAAATTTTTTGGTATATTAAACCACCTACTAAAAGAAAAGTTTAAACTGTTTTGGGCCAGGGTACTGGGCTTCAAGGGAGCAGCCTCCAGATTCCTCGCATGCCGAGCTACACCCCGAAACACTATAGCCCAAAACGCAGCAAATGCCCACATATTCTTGCCATCCCTAAACTATGCAGATCGTGGGGATCAATCCAGAGGACAATCTGCATAAGAAGAGTGCTACATCCCACAAAAGATGTGTAAATAGTGGACCATGTCTCCTAAGCCTTATTCAAACGATGAGGCTACCGTCATCCCGCACCTAGCATGCTCCGTGCTTTAAGCTAAACGGGCTTGAAGACTCCGATACACTCGGGGAGCTGTCCTTCACGTTGCTATGCATCCCCTTGTACCCGCAGCCCTAAAACTTAGACCATACATACACTGCGAAGCTCGACACATTCCTAAAATCCCAGGGTCCGCCACAACTTGCCTTCAAGCTGCGGCGCGGCACCAGGGGGTTGAAAGCAGCTTTCGGAGTTCAGGGACGGGTTAGACTCAACCCTAGCAGCCGGAAGTGCGAGATTTGGGCTACGAGCTCTTCTCAGTTCCCCTGTCTGGTAGCAGAGGCACTGCGGTTCAGGGGTTTGGGGTCGAAGTTCGAAGGTTAAGGGGTGCAGCGTTTGAAGGTTAGGGGTTTAGGCTTTCAGGGACCAGGAAACAGTGTTTACTGTCCTTCGCTCCTCCACAGCTTGGGTTGCAGCCGAAACCCTAAACCCTAAACAGAACTTCTCAAGCTACACCGCAGGACTCTGCAGCTTGAGCAGAGTTTCATGCAACATGTCAGTGAAGTCTAGTTACCATGACTCAAATGTGCTATATATGCACACGTTACAGCAAGATGTAATTTATAGTAAATAATGCTCGCATGTATACATCGACAGTCACAGTGCGATTTTTGGTGCTTTCTGTTCAGAAGTGAAAAAGCGGACAGACAGACAGACAGACAGACAGACAGACAGACAGACAGACAGACAGACAGACAGACAGACAGACAGACAGACAGACAGACAGACCTTAAGACAGACCTTACAATATAATCTACTCAGAATCTACTCGGTCATACGACCGACCATATACGATAAAATGCAAGAACATACCCTAATACACTGTAATGTACTGCTATAGCATACCCTAAACCTTAAACCCTAATCTAATCCCAGAGTGGAGGAAGGACGCACTGCGGCCATGGACCGACTGTTCATCTCGGGCGAGGAGTGGCTCGGCTACGCACGGCCGTCCTTGCCGAATTGGCGAAAGACTCTTGGAGCAACCGTCATAGTAGCAAGTACTAACCGTGGTAACTCGTAGCAATGATAATTACGACAAAAATATTAACCCCAATAGCTATAGCCATCACAAATAACAGCACATGTAATACTTGTAGTAACAACAAGAATTCAAAATCATCGCAATAAACGTGCCAGCTCTAAGAATACAACTTATAGCGATCATGGTAGTAATGTAAAGAACAGCAATAACAACAATAGTAAACATAGTAATACTCGTACTAATTTTAAAATTAGGTGAGAATGGTGCATTGGTAATCGCAATAGCAACGGAAGCCTGCTGCCGCCCTGGACCCGAAAAGCATCGCTAGTGGCCTGTGCCTGCAGATTCGTGCAACAGCTCATCAGGGGTGTCAAAACATGTTTCAGGACTATCCGGCACGAAAGTGCCTATCGCGTTGAGGCACTGTCGTTGTTTGGCATTGCTTGAGTTTCTCCTGATTTCAATCAGTCCTTTAGTAGTTGGGACAGACTCGCAGGGCCCACCCAGCAAACGGAAACAAAAGCTCAGCCTTCGGCCATTGTTATATTTAAGATTGGATCCCTGCATCCCTATATCAAGTTTGAATGATTTATGATCATGCACACGCTCCTAGTCCCTGCATTGTCTATTTTTGTACTCCATGACCCTATTCCAAATGATTCAAGGCCCCTCTGTGAAGGCTCTAAACAAACCGGATGTCCTAGTCTAAAAACTTCAAAAGCCAAACCTACGAAGGGTATACCCTCAAATCCTAAACCCCTAAACCCTAAAGGCACTAAAGCCTTATAGGGCTTAGGGCCACGGAAATCCAAGGATCGCCTATCTCTTGCGATACAGCCTGCCTTTGCTCTTCAACAACTACAAGACCGAAGCTGCATGGTTCCATACGACCCAGCGGTTTAGGGTTTAGGGTTTAGGGTTTGGGGACAGTTTTGGGCGCACCTTCGGGCATCATACTACCCAGCAACAGTTTGGGGCACATGTTCGGGCTTATCAGTTTAGCGTTTAGGTGTCTAGGGCTTAGGGTCTAGGGTTAGCAGTTTAGCTTCGCAACATGGCAGTACGTACATACCAATCATTGGTGCCATCCGGAACTCTTTTGAGGAAGTCGTTGCAGTTGCTTAATTAGGCAAGTCGAACTACATCTACTAAAAGGTGATGAGAGCCGTGAAGCCTAACGCCAAATCCGAGACTCGAAGCCTGAAAGCCAAGCGAAGAAACAAGAAACAAGCCACTCAGGTCTACTCAACAGCCCAAGACCCTATGTCCCGCACAAAGGCAGACATGCTGCTCCCGTATCTTGCTTTGGGCGCTCTTCGGAGAGAGCAGTGCCTGTCACACGAATTGGGGGTGGGCAGAAGTTGTTTTGTGATGGTGGTGTCGGTGGTGTCACATCTGGGATCCTGCCTGCCTTAAGCCAGTGTCCTAGTTTGTTGTGCGTTCTCCGTTCACCTTTCAGGGCTGAAGGTTCAGGGTTGAGGGTCTATGGTTTGGGTTTTTTGGTTCTCGATGCTTGAACTGACGGGTCGCCATTTTGGTTAAAGACCTTGGGATTGCGGCCGAAGGTATCCCGATGAAAATCTTCTTCTGGCCGATCATGGTATCGCCAACCACAGGCCAAGGATAATCATCGTCGATGTCGGTGTCTTGGTCGCGCTTTGGCAGGTTTTCCCTTCGAGAAGCATTCTGGCTGTGTGGAAGAGTGTGATCATCAGTCATGCTCGTGTTCGTGGTAATTAGTCCGCGCTGTTGGTGTTCGTACTCGTTGTAGTGTCGACGCGCAGTCGGTGCCTTAAGACTACGATGATTCGTTGGTCGGTTCCAAGCGTCAAACCGTAGGTTACGCCGTTAAGCTTCGGAAATTCGGACACTTTCTGAACTGCAGTCACAATAAAGCACAGTGCTTAGCAAGTGCTGCAACATCATCAATCGCCGAAGCCGCCAGTTTTATGACCTGCCTGCACCCAGAGCACTTTCACCCCCAAACTGTAAACCCGACCGTCCCCTTCTGGTAACCCTAAGCGACTCCCTCTAGACTCTAGATGGCTCAGGCCTATACATGAAAGCCAAAAACAACAGGCGCCCACACCGGCGAGTTCTCCCAGCAGGTTGTAGAGGTTTTCCGCAGCTTCGGCATTCGTCGGCATGATGGACGTGCAAATCCCGGCGAAGTGGGGCAGGACCGGGTTGCAGCAATCTGAGTGTTTGTCCGTGCGGTTGTCTATGAATGTGTCAATCCATCTGACAATCCATCTACTGTACACTGTAGAGGCCTAAGTAATTACTTAATACTATTGTGGGGGGTTCCTTATTATAGTTATAGTATAATGGGCCCCAAAACCCTATTCTAATTAATAAGCCCCCCATATTATCTGTCATTCCATCTGTCGATTTGTCTGTCTCTCTGACTAGCGACCTCTCCACCTATGGATCCATCGATCTGCCGGTCTGCGCGACCCAGCTATCTATCGATCGATCTATCTATCCGTCTATGTATCTATCTATCTATCTATCTATCTATCTACCTATCTCATCTGTCGATCTGTCTATCTACCTATCTATCCATCTGTCGATCTGTCTGTCTGTATGGCTATCGATCAATCTATCGATGTGCCACCTGTCTATCTGTCTATCCATCGGTCGATCTGTGGGCTTATCTGTCGATGTATCTATGGATCTGCCAGGGTATCTATCTGCTGATTTATTGATCTGTCTATCTCCATTTCCCTACGTATCTGTGTATCAGCCGCCTATATTTCTGTCGATCCATCTATCTTAGCTTGTTTCTTTCCATTTATCGATCTAACTACAGAACTTTCAGGTTTATCGGTCTATCTATCCATCGATCTATCTATCTGTCTATCTATCATCTACCTAACTATATCTAACTATCTACGTGCCCATCTTTCAACCTGTCTATCTGTGTATCTGTCTGCCTATATCTATCTGCCTAGCTATCCGTCTGTCTGTCTGTTTGTGTGTCTGTCTGTCTGTCTGTCTGTCTGTCTGTCTACCTATAGATCTACCTATCGATCTACCGAACCGATCCAGCTATAGAACTATTAATCCATGCATCTGCGGTAAACCAGGTGGCATTTGTTCAGGCGTTTGGTCAACTTGAGTCCGAGACATGGGTAGTTCGTTTAGGGTTTAGGGTTTAGGGGTTCTCTAAATTAGGCTTTCTGTCAGGGTCCTTTGTACAAGGGTGCCGTACTGTTTTGGCGACCTCAAAGGGGGCCCTACTCTAGAGAACTACCCACATGGACTTACGCCTTAATTGGGTAGTTGTCAAAATTACGGTCCCTTTTGGGGTACCCTAAATAATAGGTGCCGTATTATAATAAGGACCCAAAAAGGGACCATAATTTTGACAACCACCCAAATATCACCTAGTGGACGCAGACCCCTTCTGCACAAGTGGGAGTTTCTGAGCAAGGCGTTTCTTCAGGAAGCTCCGGATGTGCTACTCAAAGCGTGTAGAGACTACTTTCCACTTGGGGGTGCCAGAAATCCTACCAGCCTGAACACTGCCTATGGTCTCTGTTGTAGTTCCTTTTTTTGGTTTAACCAATTATATATTAAGGATTTATAAGGTATCCCCAAAAAGAAACTACAATGGAGACTATAGGTAGAGCCGAATCAGGCCTCCGTGCTCGCCATCGAGCCAAGCCCGACGGCCTACTCTCAGCTGATTCAAAATGCGCGCGAGCAAGGTTGGGGCGACAGTCTTTGCGCTCTGAACCTTGCCGTGGCCGGCTGAGGAACAAGATATCAGATCAGGGGTCTACGGTCTAAAGCTCAATAAATCTGGGAGTTTCCGAAAATTCAGGGGTGTGGTCCTTATAAAAAGGAGCCTACTATTTAGGGTACTAGATTAGGGTCCCTATCTTGCCCTTATAAAAAAGGATCCTACTATTCAGGGTACTATTTACGGTCCCGATCTTCGGAGGCCCCCATGAAAAAGGTGCGGTTAAGTGGATTCTGGTTTGTGTTTTACATTCTGTGGGTTTAGGGTTTAGGGTTTAGATATCCTGCTTTTCCTAACTGTAGGTGCCCTTAAGTGGATTCTGGTTTGTGTTTTACATTCTGTGGGTTTAGGGTTTAGGGTTTAGATATCCTGCTTTTCCTAACTGTAGGTGCCCAAAACCGAGAGCTAGCTTCCAGTCCTCAACCCAGAGGCGAGCTTAAGCGTTGACAAGTAATTTGGAAGCCTAGATGTTTATTAATAGTACTTTGGGGGGCTCCTTATTGTAATTCTAGTACAATATACCCCCAAACCCCATTCTAACTATGAAGGCCCCTAAAATTAAGTGAGGTGGCTTCTTTTCCAGCTGAGAGTGTCGCTTTCCAGTACCTTTGTCATAGTTGGGTAACATTTTACATTTTTAAGGGTACTTAAACCCAATAAGGAATATACATATACATTACATTTTTAATACTACCCCAACCTTGAACAAGGTACGAGGGCAGCATGGTGGCCAGTCTTTGGAGGCCTTCTCCCACTGTGCCGAAACCCGCAACTTCGGCTGAAGGGCTTGACATGAAGATCTCACAATTTCTTTGTCATAGTTGGGTAACATTTACATTTTAAAGGGTACTTAAACCCAATAAGGAATAGAAGTTTAAATTTTTAATACTACCCCAACCATGAACTAGATTTGTAGGGGCCTTAATTAATAATTACAAGATGGTTTTGGGGCCCAATATACCATGATTACAATAAGGAACCTCCAAATTACAAGATGGTTTTGGGGCCCAACATACCATGATTATAGTAAGGAACCTCCAAAATGGTATTGGTAAGTATTTCTGGCCCGACATTAGTAACCCAAAGGCGTCAGAGCTCTGGGCCCGCACACCCAAAAGCCTTCGATACGGCCCTCAATCCATGAGACCACGAAACCCAAAGACAGACACCAAGCACCAACATCTCCTGAGTATCGGGTGCTAAGCGTGATATGCTGGCTCCCCAAAGTGCTTCTTGGGTTCGGGGCTGCGAGTACTTAGTATGTCACGTCGTGTTCTGGTGGCTTGTGGCTATAGGGCTGAACTTGAGAAGTTGATGCCATCTCCGTCAGAGGGGAGTTCGGTCGTGAGCGATTGGAGTATTTTTTAGGGGCATATTATACTTTAACCATAATAAGGAACCCACTAAACATCACTAAACCATATTCTAATCATTAAGGCCCCTAGATTTCTGCCTTGCTGTTTGTTCGCAGCTGGGAAATCACCACCTACCGGGGTTATAGGAGAGACAAGAGAGCCACTTGGGGAGTTCCGAAAATAGGGGACCCTAATATAGCACCCTAAATAATAGGATCCTTATTATAAGGACCGCAAAATAAGGTACCCCCCAATTTTCGGAAACTCCCACTTAGGAGAAGCTGACGGCCGTGCAGCAGGAGACGTTGGACAGGCTGCTTCTTAGTGGCTGAGTAGGTAATCTTTAACCTTTTTGGGCTCTTGTAATCCTACTATAATTCAAAAGGTTAACCTTTTCTGGGCTAGGCTACTCAGCCCCTAAGGCTTTCTTCCGGCGTCTGCCAGTACCATACATCCGAGGAGATTTTCATCCTCAAGCTGGAGTTCTGGATGTCCTGATTTAAGTAATGTAGACGGCTAGCAAACGCTGAACTCGATTCCCTGGTTGGAAAGTTGTCAGAAAATCCCTCATTCGGGCCAATAAAGTGACTGGATTTCATTCATCCGGTTGTCCACATTACCCTTCGCCCTGCTATGGCCATCGTTGCTGTCATCCTCAGTTATTAAGCCAATCTAAACCCTAAACCCTAAACCCTAAACCCTAGACCCTAAACCCTAAACCCTAGACCCTAAACCCTAAACCCTAGACCCTAAACCCTAAACCCTAAACCCTACAATCTGATACCTACTACAGTTTCCTCGGCTCAGGCTTCGCCTGGGACTTGAATCAATCACCGGCCCCCGAATTTCTGTGATCGGATTCAGGCTCTCACTGCGTTTCGCCAGATAGCCTTTAGGGAAAGTCGAACTGGCTAGACTGCAGTCTTTGCTGTGGTGCCGCCTTGTCATCAGCAAAAAGGGATAGCCAAGGATTGCGAAGGCTCCGATGGAGATGTGCTGAAAGGTGCTGAAAACCTCCTCAGAAATCGCTCTGTAAAATATGTGCTCTTCGAACAGACGAGCAGACGCGATGAGCCCGTCCTTGTCTCTTGGCTCATCGGAGCAGTTAACTATATTCGAAGGCACGGTTGCTTTTCGTGCTTGTTTTCTCCATATACATTGTGTGTGTATATATATATACATCTTATACATGATAATATACATATAGTATATGAGGGCCCCTGAACCTTAGACCCCTAAACCCTAAGCCGCATGACCCAGGTGGATCTGCAGGAGACGCTGGACAGCTTATGGCATCGTGGATACGGCTGCTTTCTCATCTCAGACCGGTTTCTTTGTCATAGTTGGGTAACATTTTACATTTTTAAGGGTACTTAAACCCAATAAGGAATAGAAATATAAATTTTTAATACTACCCCAACCATGAACAAGGTTTCTGGTTCCTATCAGCGGTGGCTGGTTCCATCCCTTGTATCGTTTGTCCTCCCAGGGAGGCTTCGTCATGAACGCAGACTTCTTTTGCGCAAAGATCCATGACCCAGATCTGCTGGCAGTGATAGAGGGCTTCGTCACGCGAAGTAGTATGCCTAAGGCCAAGGAGATAGTCAAAACAGCCTTGGAACAATGGCGCCAAGCACAACCAGAATTGCGACAGTCTGTGGCGGAGAAATACGACCTTGACAGGCTGCCCAGAGGGCAGAACCTCGACAAATCCTTGCAGGCATTTTACTTTGCGGATCTGCTGCGCAGCGGATATGGTGCCTGGCCAAACCACAAAGAACGACTGGCTGCCCTGAAGTACTTCAGGAGATCCATCTTTGCTGCTCACGAATCTGGAAAGGATAGACGTCTCGCAAGACCTGGCGCCTTTGAGCTAGGCAACTGTTACTACTTCGGAGAGTGCGGCGGACGAAGCCTAAATCAGGCTATTCGATGGTATCGAAAGAGCCTGGCATATCTACCCAACGATGGCTATGCCATGACCATGTTGATGATCAGCTACTTCGCGTTTCTAGCAGACTTTTACTGGTTACTGCTATAAACTCGTCTCTTCTCTGTTTCTGTAGCGAGCTGTTCATGACAGGCATGATCGAATCGCACCTGAGCCATGTGAACACCAGCAATTCCAGTGATCACCCGCGCCCTCAACCCCAAATTCACCACAGGGTGAACAGAAGTCGACGGCTGGGTCAAAAAAGTCCACGTGGCTTTTTCGGTGTCCTGGTTGTGTCAGACCTCAACTTGCAACAATCACTATGCGCCAGACCTTATAAGCTTATTTCTTGTAGTTACGCCTGAAGCATCCACTTAGCAACAAAAGCCGCAAGCCCTAAGCCCTAAGCCTAAGCCCTTGAAGACTTGATGTCTTGGGCTTCCGTTCTGGTCGTGAGCTCAGCGAACCTGCGCACTTCGCCGGCCATTGGGATGTCAGAACCTAACCCTCCAGATACCTACTATATAGGGCCCTAGGGGCTCTAGTAACTCTAGTAACCTATATAGTAGGTACCTGGGGGTTTAGGGAGAACCAAGGCACTAAACGAGGCTAGCCATTTTTCCCACGCCAGGAACAAGGATCTGCAGTCGCTTCCCTGAAGCCCTAAACATCTAAAGCCCGAACCCAGAAACCCTGCACCCATAGCCTTGAGACTACGAGCCAGGCATTGCATGCCGGAGTTTAATTGCCAATACTATTTGGGGGGTTCCTTATTATAATTATATGGTAAAGACCTATAAGCCCGAGCATGTCAATGGGAGCGGGAAAAAAGAGCGCAACAAGAAACACAAAGAGCCTGAATGACATCCTAGAACATAGGTCACGTGTAAAATGTCTCATGAAAGCCCCAGAAAGCATAAACCAGACATCATACTGTGTTGACTCAAGCCTTAACAGACCAACTTACGAACCTCTCCAGCCTAAACCCGAAGATCTCCAGACCGGAATCGGTAAAATTGCCCTAAACCCTAAGCCCTAAGCCCTAAACCCTAAACCCTAAACCCAAACACACAACCCCCAGGATCCGGCTGCTACAGCGATGTACAGGAACTCTGAGGACCGCCTGGGTTCTGGGGCAGAGACCAAAGTGGGAGTTTCCGAAAATAGG